AAAAATCTTAATACTTTATCAGAAGTCTAAAGTCTCAAGCCTCGAAATGGTTTGAGTTCGTACAAACATTGAGAAAGACGGACGGATAGATGTACATTACACAGATAGATGTACATTAGACTTTTCACTTTGTGAAGGAGTATACAAATTTGAGTAACTACACATAACACGTATGTTATACTACCTAAATAATAATTATTAAATAATTATACTAAATAATCAGAGCACAAAAATAAATTAAATCGTCTTATAACAGTCTTTGAACGTGCACAAAAAGAATAACAGCTACATGACAAACGTAACTTAGCTAGCGCGTGAGATGAGACGAGAGGCAAAACTTTCAATAATATATGTAGTGCAGCAAACAAAAGCGAGCAACGAAGTTCGCAACACCTATGTATGAACACGAAAATCTCAGAACCTATAAGAACTAGAGACGTGCAGTATTTTTGTAGGTTCACCGCTATCACGCCCATGTATGTTTATTGTATTTTATTGCTATCCAAGTTTCACGGTTAAGCCAATAAGTCCGGCTACTTATAGGTATGATACATTAAGTTCATTCAAAACTACGGGTGGCACTTCCTAGATATGAGTGAATGATACGATAAGTTTAAAATCATGGCCGATCATGAAAAAGGTGACAAATTAGATTATGAGAAATCTTAAAATGTATATAACTCGCAGAACGAGACGTGGCAGAACCCATAAAGTATAAAGTATATTCTTTATCATGACGACAAGTCGATTGAGACCTGTCCGTCTGTCTGTCTGACCATATGTTTGAAATTTTTTGTAAGTGTATAGTTCGTGCAAATCAAGTTTGCTTCATATAATCGATGAATGTTCCCATTTTATTTTTATACCCTGACGGTACGGTATATCGGTTTTATACAAATGTATGAAACAGGCAGAAAGAGGCGTGGCAGACCCCATAAAGTAGATATATTATTGATCAGAACAAGCCGTCTGTCTGTCCGTCCGTCTGTCCGTATGTGTGAATTTTGATTTTTGTTGGATTTTGGATACCGGCTCCTAATTAACCAAAATTCTTTAAATTTAAGTTCAGTAAGCAGTGCGCTCGTATGCAACTAGTCCCAGGGTTCGAGACCGGTTGAGATGAAATATTTTTTATTGTTTTATTATTATTTTTTTTTAATTATGAAGTGACGGTGTTGGTAGAGTTGGGTTTAAATCCGTCGTTTTTTATTTGTTTTCTTTTTTTTGGAAACTCGATACAAACTACGGAAAATATTAAAAAACGCAAATAGGACGGGGATCAGGGTATCTTCTAGACGGAGACCCCGACTAGAGCTTTCTTACTTTTTAATTATGAAGTGGCGGTGTTAATAGACTTGATGCGTATAAATTGTATAAATTGTGGGTTCGAATCTTGGTATCGTTATGTCAATTTTTATTTATTTTTTTATTTTTAAATACTCTATACAAACCACGGAAAATATTAAAAGACGCAGATAGGACTGGGATCAGGGTCTCTCTCGGGCATTCCGACTAGAGCTTTCTTACTTGTAATATATTAAAAACATGATCAAAATGCAGTTATTCAATTATATATTGTACGGCTTAAGAGCTAGAGCCTCCAAATTTTGTATTTAGTTGTATGTACATTTTATAAAATTGTGCCAATATATGAAGGAGTTTGCCTTTTTTCTATGAAGACAAATACTCCAATAGAATATAAAGATCTTATGCTGGAATTTTTATAAAAGTTCAGTAAGCAGAAGTTATTAAACAAAACGTTTGACCTACTTGCAAAAGCGTATTTTTTCTATACATGTTCACACATACATTCAAACGCGTGCAATATATTTTTTTTTATATTTAGAGCTAATGCACTTTGCGTAGACATTGGGGGTTAAAATCTTGGTGTCGTAATGTCGGTTTGTATTTGTTTTTTTTTAATAATCGATTCAAACTAAACAAGTAAGAAAGCTCTAGTCGGGGTGCCCGACTAGGAGATACCCTGATCCCAGTCCTTTGAGTTTTGTAATATTTTCCGTAGTTTGTATCGAGTATTAAAAAAAAAAAGAAAACAAGTAAAAATCGACATTGCGAGACCAGGATTCGAACCCGGATTATTTACGCAACGTGCACAAACTCTACCAACACCGCCACTTCATAACTAAAAAAAAAATAAAACAATAAAAAACATTTCATCTCCACTGGTCTCGAACCCGGACCAAGCTGCATGCGAGCGGCGCCTCTACCAACGCAGCCACTGTCCTTCTTACGCGAACTGTTGCAAATTTGAACATAAGTAGCAGCTAATATTCAGCACAATTCAATCGCAATTTCAATTCTTGGAATAGAAAAGAATACACGCATTTGAATGTATGTGTGCACATGCATAGGAAAAATGCGTGCGCGTGGCGCTGCTGACATGTGCTTTTGCAAATTGGCCAAACGTTTTGTTTAATAACTTCTGTTTTACTTAATGGATTTTAATGGAACTTTGAGCATATGATCTACATATCCTATTGGCTTGGTTGAGATGCATACGCCTTCACATAATGGCCCTAGTTCCAACTAAACTTAAATTCTAAGAATTTGGGGGAATTTGGAGCCGGTATCCAAAATCCAACAAAAATCAAAATTGCATAAAATATACATAAGACTAAAGACTGGAGGCTCTAGCTCTTAAGACGTTCGAGATATAATTTATTTACTGCATTTCAAAAATGTTTTTATTCGATAACAATTAAATGCGAATAGTTATCGAATATTTGAAACAAACTTGACCTGCGCGTGCTATACAAAAAAATTTCAAGTCTCTAGCTCTTATAAATGCTAAGATCCACGCGTTCACACATACGGACAGACGGACAGACGGACGGACAGACAGACGGACAGGGCTCAATCGACTCGGCTTGTCGTCCTGATCAAGAATATATATACTTTATGGGGTCTGCCACGCCTGCTTCTGCCTGTTACATACATTTGCACAAAACCATTATACCCTGATTTCCCATTTTTAATGGGATCAGAGTATAAAAACGTAGATAGGACTGGAATCAGCGTATCTCCTAGTCAGGCACCACGACTTGAGCTATCTTACTTGTTTTATAATCTTATTTGTTTATAATCTTATTTAAAAGTTGTTTTTTTAACAATTAATCATTAAAAAACTCTCATGTATAAGAAAAATGCGTGTGCTTGGCGCTGCTTGCCACGTGCTTTAATAAATTGGCCAAACGTTTTACTTAATGGATTTTAATTAGTTTATGTATTCGATTGGAGTATTTGTCAGCTTAGCAAAAATGCGAAATCCTTCACATATTGGCCCTATTTTCAACTGACTTCAATTTAAAGAATTTGTGGAAATTTGGAGCCGATATCCACAATCTAACAAAAGTCAAAATTATAGAAAATATAAATAAAACTAAATACAACGTTTGGAGGGTCTGGCCATTAAGCCGTGCAAGATATTATTTAATAACTGCATTTCGAACATCGATAACAATTAGACGGGAACAGTTATCAATTATTTGAGCAGTGAGTGCTGAGATCGAAGCGTTCACACAGACGGACAGGGCTCAATCGACTCGGCTTGCCATTATGATCCAGAATATATATACTTTATGGGGTCCGCCACGCTTTAACAAAACCAGCTTTATTCCCTTTGAAAATGGGAAGTCAAGGTATTATATTTCACATTTTCAATGCGATCGGGGTATATAAAAAAAAAGACCTAAGCTAGGGAGCAAGACAAAAATTAAAGTTGTTAAGAAACTGTTTGTACAAAATACAGCAATATTACAATATTACTTGTTTTCTTGATCTATCTCTCTAAATTCCCTATTTGTTTTTTTTTACGTTTGTTTTGCGCACATATATTATTTACACATAAAGATCATATGTAAAGTATTGCCGGATAGCAACTAATTTATGTGTGAACTGTCCGATTTTAAAGAAATCGTACTGTTTCACAAAGTGTGGGCTGGCATATGACAATACTTGTTTATTGATAACAACAATCAATCAATCCAATATGTTGAAAACAAGTAAGACAGCTCTACTCAGGGTGCCCGACTAGGAGATACCATGATCCCAGTCCTCTTTGAGTATTTTAATATTTTCCGTAGTTTGTAGTGAGTATTCAAAAAAATAAAATAAAAATCGAGTGTACGACACGAGGATTAGAACCCACTATTTTTACGCAATGCGCACCAACTCTACCAACACCGTCACTTCATAATTTAAAAAATAAAACAATAAATAATATTCCATCTCCACCGGTCTCGACTAGCTGCATACGAGCGCTGCCTCTACCAACGCAGCCTCTGCACCACTTGCCAGAATAATTGCAAATTTGAACTTGAATAGCTGCTGATAGTTCAAGCAGTATTCAATCGCAAAAAATACATGCATTTGAATGTAAGTGTGCACACGCACGCGCTGCTGACATGTGCTTTTGCAAATTGACCAAACGTTATGTTTAATAACTTCTGTTTTACTTAATGGATTTTAATGAACTTTTCAGCATGTGATCTACATATTTTATTAAATTGGCTGAGATGCAAACGCCTTCACATTTCCAACTAAACTAAAATTTGAAGAATTTGGGGAAATTTGGAGCCGGTATCCAAAATACAACAAACATCAAAATTGCATAAAATATACATTAAACTAAATACAAAATTTGGAGGCTCTAGCTCTTAAGACGTAAGAGATTTAATTTATTAACTGCATTTCAATTATGTTTTTATTTGATATCAAACTTGATATGCGCATGCTATATACGGATCTACAAAAAAATCAAGTCTCTAGCTCTTATAGATCCACGCATTTACACATACAGACAGACAGACGAACGGACAGACAGACAGACGGACAGTGCTCAATCGACTCGGCTTGTCGCCCTGATCAAGAACAACACCATTATACCCTGATTTTCCATTTTCAATGGGACCAGGGTATAAAAATATATGTTTGTTTCTAACATAAAATAATCTAAATAATCTCTTTAATACCTTACTCACCATGTTGTACATCAAGACCTGCTCTTTCTAGCATATATGGTAGGCCTAAAAAGGGATTTCAGAATATTTAACAGTGATAAAAGTTGAAATTTAAATTTAAAAAATTACTTTAAATTTTCTTAACAAACTTAAAGATAATCTACAATTAAAACTCCTAGCAGGTGAGATTATATATTCTGACCAGAAACTAACCAAGTGGTTTATTTGAACTGGCTCACTTGAACTAGTTCATTTGAACTGGTTCATTTGAACTGGTTCATTTGAACTGGTTCATTTGAACTGGTTCATTTTAACCGGTTCATTTGAACTCGTTAATTTGATCTGGTTCATTTGAACTCGTTCATTTGAACTGGTTCATTTTAACTAGTTTATTTTTAATGGTTCAGTTGACTTAGTTCATTTAGCTGGTTAATTTAAAATAGTTTATTTGAACTGGTTCTTTTGAACTGGTTCATTTGAACTAGTTTATTGGAACTGGTTCATTTGGACTGGTTCATTCGAGCTCGTTCATATGCACTGATTTTTTTGAACCGGCTCATGTAAACTAGTTTATTTGCACTGGTTCATTTGAACTAGTTCATTTAGCTGGTTAATTTGAACTAGTTTGTTTGAATTGGTTTATTTGAATTGGTTCAATTGAACAGGTTCATTTCAACTAGTTTATTTGAACTAGCTCTTTTGATCTCAACTGGTTCATTTGAACTGGTTCAATTGAACTAGTTCATTTAAACTGGTTCATTTGAAATGGTTGATTTGATCAAGTTCATTTCAACTGGTTCAATTAATCTAGTTCATTTGAGCAGACTCATTTGGACTCATTTGAATTGGTTTACTTGGGCTGGTTCACTTAAAAGTTTCATTTGAACTGTTTTATTTGAACTAGTCGGTTTGAACTGTTTTATTTGTACCGGTTCATTTGAATAAGATAATTTTAACTAATTCATTAGAAATACTTCACTTGAACTAGTGCATTTGAACTAGTTCATCTGAACTTGTTTTAATTAAATTGGTTCGATTGAACTGACTCATTTAAAATTTTTATTTTAACTGGTTCATCTGAACTGATTCTTCTGAACTGGTTCATTTGAACTGGCTCATTTATACTGGTTCATTTAAACTGGTTCATTTGAGTTGGATCATTTGAACTGGTTCATTTGAACTGGTTTATTTGAGACCGTTCATTTGAACTTGTTTATTTGAACTGGTTCATTTGAACTTGTTTATTTGAACTGGTTCATTTGAGTTAGTCTATTTGAACTGGCTCATTTATACTGGACCATTTGAATTGGTACATTTGAACTGGTTCGTTTGAACTTGTTCATTTAGCTGGTTAATTTGAACTAGTTTATGTTAACTGGTTCTTTTGAAATGGTTCATTTGAATTGGTTCATTCGAACTGGTTCATTAGAACCAGGTCATTTAAACTAATTCATTAGAAATGGTTAATTTGAACTAGTGCATTGGAACTAGTTCATCTGAACTGGTTTAATTAAACTGGTTCGTTTGAACTGAGTCATTTAAACTTTTTATTTTAACTGATTCATCTGAGCTGGTTTTTTTAAACTGGCCCATGTAGACATTTGAGCTGGTTCATTTGAACTAGTTGATTTAAACTGGTTCATTTGAACTGGGTCATTTGAACTAGTTCATTTGAACTGCGTCATTTAAATTGGTTCATCTGATCTGGTTCTTTTGAAATGGTTCATTTGGACTGACTAATTTAAACTATTTGATTTGAACTATTTAATTTAATCTAGTTCATTTGAACTGGTTAAAATTTGAACTGGTGCAAATTATTTTGCAGCTTTTACAGTGAACAGTTGAATTTTTGATTATATGAAACCAATTTGTCATAATTAATTGTTACATGATGATCACCTTGTGACAAATGAAAATAAATACTCTAAATACATGCAGTGGAATCCTTTCTTAACAAGAATAATTCTTTGCTTAATGTTGAAATTACATTATTTGACGTAGCTTATTAATATACTTTATATTTGTAAGCATTTACTTACCACCAGTAACCGAAAACGTATTTTTTTCATTACTTCTTTTTTTCATTACAGATAAACTGGAGTTTACAATTGGATGATTATTAGAGTTCGGAGAATGCGATCGATAAAGAGCTCGAGCAACATTATTTATCACAATTGGAGACGTTCCACTGCACACATTTATTTCATTTCCGGAGGCATCCTGAAATCAAAATGTAAAATGTAAACAGATAAGATGAGATACCTTGGATCCTGTCCGATCTGCTCCATACATACTCCACAGCTAGTAAATAGCATATGGTTTTAATCTTCTGAGTAACTCTCGTCAGCAATTAAAACCAAATAAATGTGTTACTTCTTGTACTAAGATTAGAAAATCGTAGTTAGGTGGCTTTTGTGCCTCGCAGATAAAATGATCTATTTTAAAGTTTCTAGCTCAACAACTTTAGAAAATATAGTGTTTTACGGTTTCTCACGCATACTAAATGCGTTGATACATAGATTTCAAATTTCTTATCTCTATCACCAATAGTGTTTAAGATATATCAGTTTTGTCCCGCATAGATATATATTTTTTAATTTGTAAAGCATATTAACAGTAACTCATTTGCCACATGAACTTAGCCCTAAAGTATGAAGGGTATAGACTTAATTGTTCTCGTTTTGTTATTGGCTCACATAGTAAATCATTTATGCAAAAGTTTAAAAATTATGATTATAAAGAATGAAGAATCAAAATGCAAAGAGGCTTGAAACCTAAGACAAAATCCTTTCTCTAAGAACCAGGGTAACAGTAGTCAAAGCCGTTGTCTTAGAGTCTCAGACAAAAAGCAAATAAAATTAAACTGAAAACTATATTTATGCAAACCAAGTACAAGAATTACAAATTCTTAGCCAAGATAAGGCATTTAAACAATCAAACAATAGCACAGATCGATATATGGGCTTAAGTAACAATGATTTACTTGTTGTTAAGCAACAGAAGTAAGGGTGAGCAAGTGCTATGACGACGCGCAAGATTTTGAAAACCATATTTTTTTACGAAGCAGTCCCTGTTAATAGAAAGAACGTACGCAGGGAAACAATTCGTTTGTTGGTAGACCTATTCTCTGTGATTCAACAAAATATATTGTATTTGGTGTACTTTTACAAGGTGTTCAGCCAGTGGAATGTCTGTTTACAGTTAAGTCTATTCATCGATTTAATATAATTCACAAAAAAATATAAAATTAAAAATTTCGGTATAAAATCTGATTTAATTATTTTGCCTTCTAACGACGGGACTTCCAGGTAACTTATTTAATGGCTCTAAGGAACCGAAGATCAAACTTAAAATTGAGATTGAGCTGCTAAAACTTCTATGGCAGATTTCATTAATTCAGAAATTAAGCAACTTTTGATCGAAAGAATTATATGGTAACCCTACAGCAACATGAATTTGTCTAATATTGGTTGATGAAGCTATTTCACAACGCAAGATTTTTTTATCAAATTACCCTTTCAGAATTCTGAAAAGGCCCAAAGAGCAATTGATGATGTTTTCAGAGAGAAAATCTGAAGATTATGATATGTCGACGATGTTTTAATTTTCTCAGACAAAACAAGAAAACAGTGGAGCACGTAGACTCTGGTTTTACGTCGTTCACATAACGAAAATATGCGGATCTCAGAAGATAAATTTCAAAGCCAGTTTGGAATTCCTACGCATGTCGTTTCTAGAGGTGGTATAACTACATCTCCCGAGAAATACACACAATCTCACAGTATTATATTCCGGAGGCATAATTTGATTGTATCAAGCGTCTTATTGTAGATGTAAAGTTCGCTACTAAAGCAATGCCCATAATAGATCTACTGAATAGAGAGGATGAAAGGATAGAAATTAATTTCAGATGGAGGCGATGAGGACGCAATACACATACTTTCGAAAAGCTTTCGATCTTACTAGCTATGCTTTGTCACAAGAAGGGAAGCCGATTATAATAATTTCCATCAACCTAAAGGGCCAAGAACTACATTTTGCTACATGAAATGAAAAGTCATTGAGTCGCGGTGTCAGACTTTAATACAAATGCGAAAGTAAGTTATCGAAGAGCATTATGCAAATCTTTTTACAAAACCGGGGAAGAAAAATAAGATTGCCGACAGTGTTTCACATCAGAAAGTTTGAAAACTCTAGTCGGTAGTGACCCACTAGGAGACACGCTGTTGTTGCTGTTGATTCCAATATTAAAAAACCGGCATAAGAACGCTAAAACTCTAACTAACATCTACGCAACGTGGATCAGCTCTACCAACACTTCACTTCATATTAAAAAAAATATAAGAAATTCCTTCATTGACTGACATTGAACACCGAACGGCAACGACCATCTATTAACATCATCATAGGTTGCAAAACTCAACTAAAGTAGTAGCAGACAAATCAAACGCAATAAAATCACAATTGCGATCATTACAACAGAAAAGAACGCACGAATTTAAATATATATTTGCACATGTGCGCTGTTTCCCTCGATATCAATTTAATTTACAGTATTTTATCTACATATTCTATTGAAGTACTTTTCAGTTTAATACAAATATAAATAATAAGCTAAATACAAAATTCGGAGACTCTATCTCTAATTAAAATTTATTACTATCAATTATTTAAAATAAACAAAAGATATTGAAGTCTCTACTCTTATAGCTTCTGAAATCGACGAGTTATTTAGCGACGCATATATATAATATGAAAAGTTTTTCTTATTTTAGCATTTTATAATATAAGCAACTAAATAAAAGCTTATGATACCGATACACTAATTTTAATTTGATTGGACAAATACTAAGGAGTATTTTTATGTTTTACAAATTCCATTTTAATCTATGGCACCTAATCGCCTAATATGCTGGGTAATTTAGTTTCATTAAGGTGCTCTGTTGGAATTTAATTTGTTCATTCATCGTACGGAAAAACTACTTTCGTACCGACAAATTAATAAAGTACACTACACAATACACTTAATCAACACTTTATTCGCAATGCTAAAAAAAAAATTATTAAAATAAATAAAAGTACCTTTCGATCGATTTTCGAGGGTGACAATAGCTGCTTTGATAAGTATAAATGATGCATCATAGCCTGCAGGCGATCTCTTTCTTTTTGCAGGTGACTTTCCAATTGAGAAACAACTTGCATTTGTACCCGAGCTTGGGCTGTTGATCTGTCATCTAATGCATGCTCCGAATTCAAGTGCCTGTTAATAAAAAATCCCATTGTGAATAATATGTTATATGAAATAAAATGTAATTGTGCTCTCATCGAAAATAATCGACCAGAAATTCGCTAATCCTCTACCGTATATATTGGAAAATGCAAAGGCTGAAATATCTACATATATTACTATATAAATAAAACATTCCTTTGTAATTAAAAATTTGAGTCAAATAATGTCGAAAGCTGCTGAGCTCCCTCAATTAATTAGCTTATTATTTATTGATTCATTGACATGTCTACTTGCAAAAAACGTTAACTGATCGGTTGAAGACAATTTTTTTACTGATAGCAAAGGCAAACAATATAAGTTAAAAGTACCGACCCCAGTAGTATATTACATATGTATTATGAGTAATACATATAAGCGTAGCGAGACACATAAGTAGAGCTTATTAAAAGAACCATTATTAGCTGCTGTGCGGAATAACCTCCCCTCCGTTTAAAGACCAGGTATTTGTACTGACATTTCGCTTATTAGCCCTCGATAGCCCTTTAATAGAAGGCTTTTGGGTACGCTATTTTCCACGTAGTTGTATGTATTTCTCAGTCCAGCATTTCAAAATATCTGTTGTAAATATGTGGCATACTCTCAGCGATCGAACCGCTTTCCATTATTGGCTGGAGGGAAAAATTCAAGATCATCGGGATTTTCTAAAAGGGAACCATGAGGACAAGAAGTGAAAATCGTCTGCATTTTGCTAATGAATGTTTGCAGTTTGTCGAAGCCAGAAATAGAAAGTCCCATAAAGTGATATTAGTATTGTTAAACAATCTTAATTCTTCTTGCATTCTTGTTGGAACACGCAAATGTAGCATTTTAGTTATGTTCTGCTTGTAGTAAAAGATATATATATATATAAAAGGTAAATATATGCCAGTCACTTTAAATATTGTGAATATATTCGAGTTTTAATACCAACAATGGCCCAAACTGTAAGCGAATTTTTGAAATCAAAGCGATCTTGCGATCCTGCACTGTGATGCTTTTGATGAAAATGCTAAATGATGGTAAAAGTTAAGCAATCACTTCTCCAAATGTTTGCAATAAACGACGAAAGTTTGGGGCATATACTGGTAATCGAGGTGAGAAATTAATATATCCAAATCACTACTACCCGAGGAGAGGACCAGCTCTGATGAAGTGTTTGTTTCATCCAGCTGTAGTCTAAGAGATCCTTATGCCTTTGTAAGTCTAAAAGTCGCTATTTCAGAACGATAAGGAATGAGTAATCGTCTGACATCTTATATTGCGAAGCGATTGGTAATTAAGTTCCGTTAAGGTCCTGAATCCAAAAATGCACGGCATGGCCTGAGTGCTCCTGATCCTTTTTTGATAACAGTGCTAGAACTTGGCTTGAGACATTAAAGGGGACATTGTAACCATGGCAGTGGAATATATTGGTTTTACGCTTAGATCTTTATGTGCCACAATAGTGTTCATTGATGTCCGATTATAATTCAATAAAGTGCGTTGCTTCGACTGACAAGTGCAGCAGGAACAGAGGCTTCTATTTTAAGCAATTCAATTACAGAGAGAACGACCCGACTTCCTTATATCTCTCTAAATTTATATCTCTCTAAACCCTTGGAGACACTTGGAGTTATGTGATTTTCTTATATACAATATATGTATACTACCGATCTTCATTGACTTGCCAAACTGACCATCTTAACCTTGAATGAGTTGATCCACATTTTAAAATCCTCGACACCGCGTTTGCTGACAATTTGACTTAAGATGGAAACTCATTAGTAGAAAACTTTCCTCCCCCTGAGTGCCCTCCCACTTCTTCTTTCGATATTGCAGACTGCATCAAGAGCATAATTTGTCTCTTTGATGTTGGAACTTCTCGACGGAATTGAGATCGGAATCCTTATTAATAACTATTGTGGCCATAGAGTTGAAGTTTACCAACTCAATAATCTGCGATCGATTACCCATAACGAGCCTTAGAATCGATAGAATTTTCTAATTACAGAGTTCGCGCTGTATAATAGCATTCAATTTTCTAGGTGCTGATTTTAATTTGGCAGATAGTTCACTCAATTTCCACTTCGTATACACTCCAGCTTACTAAAAATAGATCTAGTTTTGATTCAGAATTCAGAATTTTTAATTTTAGTAACTGTGTTAGTAACTGAATTAGATTTTTTTAAATCCAAGCTATCAATAAGCATATTTTGGTTATGCAAAAAACATCAATAGTCATCCATTAGCAAATTTTTTGACAAACTCTTATCTAATGGGAATATGCTACTTACAAATACACATCCCTCTTCCTTAGAATAGTTTAACCCTATTGATATGGTTATGTCGAAGATAGTGGTAAATTTTATGTTATTGCTTGAACATTGTTCGTATAAACGAAGGCTTTTCGCCATTATTAGGACTTCAAATTTTTTCCCCTACGACCACTAGAACAGTGACTTATCGGATAATACTATGTCTGGTATGTTATAAAAGCAATTAACTCGAAATAAAGAGTATGTACTCAGATTGACGATAAAATATATAGCTTTTAAAGTTTAGGCCCAAAACTTAAAAATTCGATCCTTGAGCTATTCTTGACCTCATCTTTTAAAGGCATATCCAAAAAAAAACCTATAATTTCCACAGTTTTGCAACCTTATAATACCTTATAAAATAATAAGTCCACATATAATGTGTGAAACCTGAACCTGTTGATTGCTTTCCATACGTACGTCTTTTAACCTACTTCAAAATTAAAAGAAAAGTAACTAAATTCATAGATAAAAAAGCCTCCTCCCAAGACGTTTGGTTTTCGAAAACAATACAGTCGAGCGTCTTGTTAAAACTAAAACAAAATAATAAACGAGTAAGACACGAATAGTCGGGGCGTCCAACTAACATTAATATATATTTTTAAATATACTCCATGGTTGGTCCCTAGTACTTGCAGGGACCAGAAATTAAGCTATTACAGTTAAGCAAATTCTTGGATATCTCTTAAAACGCGATTTCAATGTGTGCTCGTGAATTAGGATGATAGTTGTACTGATGTCAAACCATATCGTGAAAATGACCTGTTGAAATTTGATTTATAATTTTTATTCCAGATATTCCGTCGTGGCAGGTTTCTTCTGCGTATTTTGATTTTATGCATTCACTTGGAAAGACATTAAAATGCTTATTACAATATCGTTATGTATGGCCAAATTCCACGCATTTATGATAGACGATTCGATTGTGACTTTGTTATTGCAATGTAGTTTAATTTCATATATTTTTTATTGCTTAATATAAGCTCAATGTCCATATAAAATCGTGGCATTGGAGTTTTATTAGTTTTTCTACTTATCCTTTAGGGAAATGGCGCAAAAAATTTTTGAGCTTAAGTTTTACCGTTCCTGAGGAATTTGAGAGACAGTGAAGTTCAAGTGCCTCTGTTTGTTAAAGAATTTCGGGTCAATTTGTACCAACTTTACTTGAAGTATCTGAGTTAATATACGAAGGCTCTATAATAATAATAGGCCATGCCTTTCGAAGTAAATGGTCAATATATATTTAAAAAAATTAAAATATTACATTTGAGAACTACTAAAAATCAATGATATATTTTTGGAAGAATATGTATTTATATATTACTGATAACTTGAACAAGTTCTGAAGCGTACAATTACTGAGCACAATATATTGCTGTGTTGTTTTCAAAGAGGTCTTAACTTAATATAGCATAATAGTTACATCCAAATTAAAAATTACTTACTTTACGAACGAGGCTATATCTTCCAAGTCAACTTCACAACCAGGCCACCTGCATATTCCATGAGCGAATAAGGGGTGATAATATTTACGAATGGCAAAAACATCATGTATGTGATTATATTCATTATTATATATATCATTTTCTTTTGATCTAAGCAGTTTCTCAGAATCTGATAATATATTCTTTTCTTGGTCAGATATAAAATCAGGAAAACTATAGAAGTTGATATCAGTAGTTGACGTCATTGTATGCATTTGTTGACCATGAGATACTGGGATTTGATTAACCAACTCTGGAACGTAAACTGATTCTCCTAAGCTAGAAGTTGGTGAACTAGACTTCATAATATGTGTTGCATATGTTGCATTATTAGGAACACCATCCTTTTGTAAGCAATTATTTTTAATTTTTTCAGTGCAAATTTCCGAAGATATTGGCATATGGTAAAGAGATTTGCTTAAAAATTCCTTTTGGTGATGACTTTCCATGTGTGGAGAAGCTTTATTGTCTTCAGAAAATCCGTCGTCAGGAAACCGAAGCATACTAATAATAAAATAACTGAAAGAAAATCAAATCAAAATCAATTACTACTAATTTTATATGTTTTGTATTTTGTAAGATGGAATAAATAAATATCAATACTTAATAATTTGTAGTAATATACATACAAACAAGTAAGAAAGCTCTAGTCGGGGGCCTGACTAGGAGATACACTGATCCCAGACCATCTGTGTTTTTAAATATTTTCAATAGTTTGTATCGAGTATTAATAACACATATTAAAACCGAAATTATGACAACACGAGTCGAACCAACATTGCCTACGCAACGCGCATCATCTCTACCAAAACCGCAATTGTCTGGCTCGAACTCATAGATTGCCGTCTACGAGCGCCGCCTCTACCATCTCTACCATCACCGCCACGGCATTGCTTTCACGCTAAGTTGCAAATCTAAACTTAAGTAATACATGCGAACGGTTGGACGGACAGGGATACACTTTATGGGGTCAACCAAACCCCTTATACCCTGATTTCTCATTTTCTATGGAATCAGGGTAAAAAAATTATTCCTGGCTGAACCCAAAATTGGTGATGTCCATTTGCGTGTTTGAAGTTCCAGCAAAAAGGGATTAACTTACGTTCAAAGTTTTTCGTCAACGATCTTTAATATTTTCCTTTGCTACAGCGAAAACCGAGTTGTTCAGAATTGTATATAATTTGTTTTCACCTTAATTATATTGAATATAAGCTCGTTCAGGAATCAACCAAATTTCCGATAAGCACTAGGGGCAAATAGGTAGAAATGTAAGCCTCTTTGGATGTGTGGAAAATTTAAGTAAGCAACGTATTAGAGCTTTAGATTTTATGTGGGGCGTGGCAAATCGGAAAATGGGCTTCGTCTTGAAATACTGCATTTTTAGCTGTAATGCTGTATTCAGACTCTTTGGCTTTTTTTTTACTTTTTTTATAATTCACAACTTATAGTTAGGTTATAATTAACCATAATGGTTAACCATTTAGAAATATCTGATAGCGTCTGCCGTTACCTTTCGGTTCCCACTATCTTCAGTTGGGTCTTTGGCTCTGTTTTTTGGATATTCTCATCTTGACAGGAGATTATGCTTCTTATACTGTGTCATCCGGTGTTTTTTATATAAATCTAATTACGATGATCGCCATTACATAGGCATTACAAACTTACCAATAACTCGATATTAATGCAGCGAATCATTGTTAATCACATTTTATTATCAAACAAATAGTAAATTAAAAGCATAGCACGATATGCTTAAAAGAAGTAAATCAGAATTATTTTTCATTAAAGCATACTTAGCAGCCTAACTTCTTATCTTCATTAACGTAATTAGATTATTAAGCGCGGGTTAATAATATATTTTCGGTAACCTACGTAGTATTGTGATATTAATTTTTTATGGACAACTATTTCTGTGTAGGGGTAACCTATTAAAATTATTTAAATTCTTTAGCCTATTATTATTAATTTTCTCTATATTTCTGTCGTTATATTCCATTTATGATTATAGGCTCAGAAGTTTATTCATCGACTGAAATCAATTTATCATCTTACTTCCAAATTTTACTAGGAATTTTAATACCCAAATATCTCTGTACTCAGGTTTTGTTAAGTCAAAATTAAAGTTTTCCTCCTTATTTAATTCTTCTAAGGATTGGACAAGAATGTATGCTAGGTGTGTGGGAAATGTGTAAGACTGTAACTTCTACAAATTTTCAGTTAAAAACTTAAAATTTAACAAATAACTTACTGTTGATTTCCTCTACATCGAAATTCTTGAAAGCCGACCTTAATCTTAAGTCTTAAATACATACCATCGAAAATGTTTAAATATATTTGAATAAGTTTTATTTTAGAGGCTAAAGAGACTTTCTAAAACAAACAAATTTTCAGAGCGGGATAACATTTTTCAAGTTATTACTTACTAATTAATTATTGGCAAAATAAAGATACATGGTAATATAAATTTAAAATTGAATTAGGAATACAATTTAAGTTGTTCACGGGATCGGTCGTTCGTGTTGATGGACAAACACTCAGCCGGACAGGCGGACATGGTTTAATCGTCTTAGCTCGTAGTCTTAATCAAGTATATATATTTTTATGCTGTTTGCCACGCAAACTGAATGGATAAGTCCTCAAGGATCTGTAATAGGTATGCCTCTATTTAGAGTCCAGAGCTTGCATTTAAAAAATGCACTCTTTATACTTTATCTTGAGCAAAAAGTTCAGTATAGCCATGGTGGTGGACTGACACATGTCGATATTCTTAGAAAATTCCTTGCCATTTGAAAACATTTTCCATTTTTGAAGCTGGCAGTTGGCTATCAGAGAGATCCCAAGGCATGAGCCTATGATTAAGCAGATGTTAGCGAAATATCAAAGAAACATGAAGACAAAATCTACAATTTGTAGATAACTTTACTCCTTGCAAATTCAATTATTCAAAATCAATAAAAATATAAGTGAAACTTCAATATACCCAAAATAGATTTATCATTTAAATTGGAAAACAGACGCAGACAAAGCTGACGTTACAGATAAAACAAACAACAGCGCTCTAGTCTGGACTGATTTATTAGTATATACCCTAAACGCTGCGAAGAGTTAATATACCAATTTTTATTCGATTTCTTTATAGATATATAACATATATACACACACCTACACTGTAACGACCGGTAGAATAGTTCGAGCTGAATTCAGTCGACTGCGTATTCCCACCAATAATATTTGTATTTGAAGTTACCTACGTTAGTAAAAAGTATAAATTTTTCTGCTACATGTTCTCATGGGTTTTAGACAATTCCCTTATGCCTTAGTATAAAGTTTTTAATCATCGCCTCGCCTCCTAGAAACACACAAGTCCTCAGGATCTTATAATTTTTTAACACACCTGGTACCGGAATAACTCGCACTGTACTCCCCACTAAAACAGTACTCTGCTTTGGATTGATTCGCTGTAAGCACACTTGAGTACTCACAAGATTGCGTAGCTCTTCCTCGCACGACTAAGTGAACGTTACTCACTCCTGTCCATTTTCAATTTTATAACTTATTTTCTATTCTGTGTAAGCGATGAGGGATCAGGCCACTTACGCATAACTCGTTATAACGTAAAACCTATAATTGGCGCAGCCCGTAGAATAAAAATAAAGTGCATTATCAGAAACATTTAAGACTAGTGTCACTAAGGAAAATCGCTAGCAAACTATAAACATTGTGTTAAACGATAAAAATTGTATCCGATAAAGAACCAACGTAGCTGCTCGTTTAAATAAAAAAAAATATAAACTCTTAAGTGAACAAGTTCCTAATCAATTAATCGGCTTCAACATGACTCTAGAATTGTCAGACGCCCTCCTCTCCAAGTCCCAACCCTTTTACGGCAAGTGCTTATGCTTAATGGTGACACCAATACATTGAGTATATTCATCAGACGGATTGACTATATCATGCAATTGTACCCAAAGAGGGACGTCCGCCAACACAGCGTGCTGTTCGGGACTATCGAGATGCAGCTAACTGCAGATGCACAGAGAGTGTCTTAACTCTTACAGCCTACCGGTTGGGGTAACCTACGGGCAAGACTCACACACCTTGCGCAAAATTATTGCGACGACTATACAACACCAAATTTACTGAAAGCCTTCGTAAGTTCATCGAAGATTTAGAAAAAAAAAAACGTTTATAATTACTAATAAGGTAACCATAGAAGGCGACATCACTAATACAACACTTTACACTAACGCCATGAAAAACACAGTTAAAAAAGTTATTACCAGAAAATTACCATACAGACTTTATATGACCCTAAGGAAATTTGATATTTCAACCGTGTCTAATTTAAATCTGTATGAAAATAGCTTCACAGATAAACCTAAGAACAATTCAAACCCCACCAAGTCATAGCACTAACCAAAAGAATCTAAACAATCACCAAACTTACTCTAAACCAAACTAGAACCAAACCAACTACAGACAGAATAACTAACAACCTATCCTTCCAGGACAAAACAATTCAACTAATCATCAAATTTAAGCTAACTTTACTAAAAACACAACAGAATTCTTTAAATTATCAATGTTCAGGCATGAACATACAGCATATTAAAGAATTCTGAGCATGCCGTCTACGCACTCAACCACTTTCAGGGAGTGCAATAGCAATAGATCAAATTACCTGCTGAAACTCTAAAATAAGACATACGATCGTTGACCCTTGCCTCGGACCAACTCCAAAAAACATCCAAACCAAACCAATATATCCAACTTATCATAAAAACTCTCTCATATAAACTCTCTCCTCAAGATAGATAAGAGATACTGGCTCTTCTACACATCATATCAATGAAAATTATTTCAATTTATAAGAGACTAAAGAGTATCTAAAAGTGTAATCTATTAAATGCATAATAGAACGGAATAAAAGCGTATCAACTTTGTCCTATTAAACAAAAATTCTATTGTCCAATTCTCATCCACTTATAATATATTAATACGTAAAAACTACCTCTCGGTATGCAAAGCTGTCATTAGTTAAGCAGAAGACAACGTAACTATAGGGAACTACACGTTATATTTCCAATACGGTAACGAAACACTGAGATAAATAACTATATAGAGGAAAGAAATTAATACAGACTGGATCATTTAAGTCCAGAAAAAACAGAGAAACTAAAAAAAATCCTTCACGACTATAACGACATACAATAGATACAAACACCTCAAATTCTTGACCTGGAAGTCAATAAATAAATCAACGAAATGTTAGAACAGGGAATCATGCGAAGTTCTTATTCACCCTATTGTTTACCTATATGGATCGTACCCAAAAGGGGACGCTTCCAAAGAAAAGAACTACCGCTTAGTTATCGACTAACGTGGATTAAATGAAGCTACTATAGACTTATCATGGAAGAAATTCTTGATAAATTAGGCAAATGTCAATATTTCAATGCCATCAACCTTGCCAAAATCCAAATGAACCCTAATCGATTGCAAAAACTGCATTCTCAACA